CGAACTCATGAACCACGAGATCATGACCTGAGCCGAAGTCGGACGCTTAACCGACTGAGCCACCCAGGCACCCCTGAAATATGTCACTTTAGTCACTTGCAATTAAATATGCCCCCTTGAATGGAAGGGAAGGGGTAGCCCTGGATAGCCTTGTGGCTGGTGTACCATGAATTGTGCCTTTGTGAGTGTTGTATGTGAACTTGCTGTGTGTGCCAAGGTGGAGAAATGTTGATCTACCCTTTGTGGGGAAGTCAGAGGGCAGAGGTAGCCTCCTTTCACGGTGCTTCTTTGGACATCCATTAAGCAAGCAATTGCTCCCTTCCCTTATCCCTCCCGCCTCCCTGGGAAAGAGCGTTTGGGATAAAAAACTGGACACGCAAACCCCTTTTTTGGGATTTATCATGTTTGTGGAGCCTATGTTGTGTTCTCTTGCCAGACATGTAAACTTTGCAGTGAAGGCTCTCTGCTCTGTGGTTGTGTAGGATTGCCCATGTCTTGGTGAGCAGGTCTGTCTAATTCTGGGTTAGCTATTAGGTGGCCATTTTCAGCACAAACCTAAATTACATCCTTTAACCTAGATCTTTCAGGAATTAATCTGACATACTGAATCTCCATTTGCCTGACTTGGTCTCTCAAGTGGCTCAGAAGACAGGAGGGGACAAAGGGTATTATTTTATGATTTCCTCAAACTCCAACAAAAATTAGTGAAAATTATATTTCATTTTTTTTAGAATAAATTTGCTTAGTCTTTTTTTTAAGTTTATTTATTTATTTTTAGAGAGGGAAAGCAATCAGAGGAGGGGCAGAGAGAGGGAGAGAGAATCCAAAGCAGGTTCTGTGCTATCTTCGAGGAGCCTGACACGGGGCTTAATCTCATGGAACTGTGAGATCATGATCTGAGCCAAAACCAAGAGTTGGACACTTAACCAACTGAGCCACTCAGGCACCCTATGAAAATTACATTTCAAAGTATGAGATAAATTAAAAACCAAATTGGGAATTTTTTTCTAATTTTTTTTTTTTTTGATCATGGTAATTCTATGTTATTGGAATGTTAATTTTAAGGTAATGTTAATTGCAAGGTAATATGTAAACATTTTCAGAATATTTAAAAGATCTACTCACTTGGAATTGTCATAGACCACAATATTGACTTGATTTAAAAAAAAAAGTGTGGGGGGGTGGCACCTGGGTGACTCAGTGGGTCTAAGTGTCTGACTTTAGCTCAGGTCATGATCTTACAGTTCATGA